TTCAATACTGGAAGTTACAGGTAATCTATCTTGGCAGTGTTGGGCTCAAATAGAGTCATAGGGCAAGACTATGCCAATGACTGAGCAGAGAAAGCTTTGCATTCGCCCTTTAAGGCCAGGATCAATTAGGAAGATTACAGTCAGCAGACAGAATGACTACAGCTAATTCTTGGATCTTATTTTAGGCCTTGGTGAAATATGCTATGGGCATTAGATAGTATCTACTAAAAGGCCATAATTTCTCATTATGATGTGGCACAACAGATATTTCCATTTTGGGTAGAGTGACATAATCTACTTGCTTACTGGAAAAAGACGGAAGAAATCATCACAGCAGTGTTGTGGAGAAAATGTCAGGCTGGAGTTTGTCAGAGGAAATGGAAGACATGAAGACTCCCTGGGAAGCGAAGTGCTTTTGCCCTGAGCACAACCAGAGCAGGTCACTTCACAGACCAAATTAAGACGTGTAATTCGGTTTGTGGCTCCTACAGAGCTGACGCATTTGAGTCAAAAGTACAACGAAGCAAGGCTGCTTGAAATAGCCCTGTGAACTCAGCATGGAATTGCAGTGCTGGTGTATTTAACGCCACTCCACATTGATTTTTTTTTTGTTGTTGTTGTTATTTTGCTTTTTTCTCTTAAGACTTAAGTTCTTTGTCCTTGGGTTTCTCGGACTGAAGGTATGTGTGGTGGCGATTCTGCACTGCATTCTGATTTTTTCTAATGATTGTCACAGAGAAGAGTTTGCCCTGCTCTAAAGCCTTCTTTTGACGTGGAACACACTCAAGGGCTGAAGTTGAAGTCCATTTGCTCAGGTCCAATGAGCCTTCTGTTAGTTGTGGCTTTAATATCTGCTCCATTTTCAAATCTTGTGTGGTGCTCTTTGGATCTGTCCCATGTAGGTGCCACACAGTGGCCAGTCTAGGCCCTGGGAAATGGTCAGTTTGTTTTCAAAGTCCTTTGTATGCTGTTTAAGATCTGATACACAATGCACAGCTTGGGGTGAATTCAGTTGTCCATAAACAACTTTGTCGGGTCACTTTCTAAATTCCTCATTCCCCACAATCTCTTCCATACTTTTGGGCTCCCTGAGGCTCTAATTTCAGTTCCCTAGCCAGAAATCTGGGACTTTATTTACCCCCTGTCTGCTGCAAACTTCCTGCAACTGTGCCCACATCTGAAACCAATGAAGAACAGAACAGCATAAGAAAAAAAAGAAAGGGAGTTTTCCCCCATATGTCTTGGGGCTATAAATCCTGTGATCAAAGAGGAATGCCTCCCATCTCAGAGTTTTAGGTGCCAACAGGCTCATACTGTTGCTGCTGTCACTGACAGGAGACCTTTTTCCTACTCCTGATTCTGAGTGATAGGGCTTCTCCTGCAGCTTTCTCTGTGCTGATACTCACTTCCATGGCCAGGGCTCATTTGAGCCCAGGCTGAAGGGCAACTGGAGGAAAAAACTCGGAAACTCAACTGCTTTACAGTTGGGTGATATTTCAAAGCCTGTTCTTCCTCACCAATCTGCCTGCTACTGTTTCCTTTCAGAGTATTCAAGTAGCTGCTTCATGCATTCTATGTAAGTGTTTTTTTTTTTTTTTTCAGCTGCATTCAGTGGGAGAGATAGGATGGAGTGTGCTTACTTCCTCTTACCTGGAATTGAAACTCCTTATATATTATATTATTCCTTCTACATGTGTAACTTTTGTCTAGATCTCTTTCCTGATCGCTAGCCCTTTGCATCTAGCAGTGTCCTGGGCACATCTACATGACTGTTCAATTGATACCCCATATTCAATATTTCCAAAACTGAATTTGTCATCTTACCCCGAAGCCTATTCCTCTTCTTGCAAGTCTTATCTTTGTGAATGGCACTGCAATCTGCCCAGTTACCTAAATCTGAAACCATGAAAACAAACTCTTTCTTGTAACACATGTCCAGTCAATCACTAGGTCCTATCAATTCTGTCTTCTTAAATTGACTGTCTCTTCTCCATCCACACTGACACTGCTTTAGTCTCGGCATCAATACTTCTTTCTGGCTTTTCTCAGTGGTTTGTACCCCTAGTCTTGCTTCCCATTGGTCTAGTCCCCACTGTGCTTCTGGAGTCATCTTTCTATACTACAAACCTAAATAAGTAACATTTTGCTTAGGATTCTTCATTGGTTCCCCATGGATCCTGGGATATGCAAGCTCCTTAGCCCGTGTTCAATAGAGTTTCTTACCACACTATTCGTTCCCAGGGCCCAGATCAAAGGAATCATAGTCCCAAGAGCATGAGGCAAACTCCCATATCTTTTTTTCTTTCTCTGTTCTGCTCCTCCTTGGCTTCAGATGTGGGCACCACAAATGTGGTAAGAGCACTCTTATACTGAAGTTTCTGGGTGGATGAGGCAATAGTGTGAAGGTTTTTTTTTTTCCATAATAGTAGCTTCCTGCCTTGCATTGTGGCTTTATCACTATAAAATCCAATGTTATAATTTTCTAAACCTTGACTTGAGTTTCCCAACTGTGACTAACATATTAATCATGACATCTTCTCCATTTATATAACCAAGACTTGCAAAGAACAGGAGAAAAAAGAGCATAATCCTGTAAAGGGTCACCACATGTCTGTTATTCTCATATAAGATATAGCCTTTATAACAGTCCTTCTCCCCTTTAATTTCTGAATTCAAATCTTCATTGGGTTCCACTTGACAGGTATGGGTAATTTTTACTTATAAATGTAATGAACTTCTGGTGCCCTTTTTCTAGATTATAGTCTTTAAGAGATAACCTTAGGGAGCAGACATGCTGAAGCCACCCAATGAGTGTTGAAAGTAGCAAGATGTGAGATGTTGAAGAAATTATGTAACACCAAATTAGCAAAAATAAAGGAACTCTTCTATTCAGATTACCCAGAAAACCAACTTATTGGTAGAAGGCAGTAGATGAGCAACTTCACCTGTAAAGCAATGTAGTGAGACAGACCTAGGTTTGAAACTTGCTTCTTCTGAGCCGTATGCCCTTAGACAAGTCCTCGATCTCTCTGAATTTTAGTTTCCTCATCTATAAAATGGAAATGTGCTGACTAATTGAGATCATGGAATGAAAGTACATGTGTATATATGCCCAATACATAAGAATTTTCTCTTAAGGAATAGACTCTTAGAATACACAGTCATATTCCTATTTGAAATTACAGCATGAATTTTGTGCTGCCACATTAAGCAGATTCTGAAAAATTTTAACACTACTCCTCCCCCGACATCACACACTTCTCTTAATCCAGGGAAATTGAGGAGGTAAGAGGAGCTCCGAGGAGAAGCATGCTTGAAGACAGAGGAGGGCATCCCATTTTTCCACAACTCAGAATAGCACCTCTGCTGCTTCCCTTCAGCTTGTCTGAGAATTCATAAATCAGACTCCTAATGCTTAGCATGCCGCATTGTGCACAGTGAATACTGACAGCTCTGCAATTGCTTTTATAATTGATATTTGTAAATCATGTGATAAAAGACCACCTCCCAAGTTCTTGGATGTATCCAGAGAGTATGTACCAATAATTATACAGTGTCAATACACATGCATATCTGTAGGAAATGCCAGCAATGAGCATCTCAGGAAGATTTTAAAATATGACTACTGGAATGAGAACAGTCCCACATACAACTGTGAGAGGCAAGGCCTCTCCTGGCCTTCCATCTCTTCTGTGATTCTTCTCATAATGCTCATATAACCCTTTCTGCGAGTACTTTGAGTCCTCGTGGCACTTCTGGGTTGACCAAATGTCTGTATTTTTTTTTTAACCTTCATTTTATCACTCTTGGCTTTGTCTGTTTTCCTCAAGGAGTTTCTATTACAAAACTCTTCTTTCTTCACTGAAAATGTACTTTTATGTAGCCTTTTCCTATTTAGAACCAGTTAGAAAAGACCTGAGGAAAATAATTCACTAAAGATATTGATGGTTAATAAATAGTTATTGTGTTATCATTCCCAGGAGTTTCTTTTCAGCAAGGAAGACTTGGGCAATATCTTAAGAAACGAAGTATTGTGGTATAGAATTCTCAGCCCTGAGTCTGTGTGCGGGGATGTTAGCCACAGAGACATTTCTGAGATCCCTCAAATCACAGAAGAAAGAAGCCACCTTTTCTTCTGTGGTGAAATCATTGAAAATCCCTACAGGGCCAACAGTGGCTTACAGATTTTTTGCTTTTCCTCTGCCATTCCATTTGGCCTAACGTAGGCAACAAGTAGAAAAAAGGGTGACAATACAAACAGCAGCAAAACTTGATTAAGACTCCTGAGTTACTTATTTACATTTTAGACTTTTAAATTTAAGTTTTCACCTGTGTCTCCAAATTTCAGCCTAAAACCTTTCCCTCACACTATGCTTGTAGTTAAATAGATAATTAATCTGAAATCTTAGAAGATGCTTTTTGGAGCATAAAACAGGCTTGGCTCATCTTTGTAAAGTAATATTCCAAACACGAGTTATTAAAACAGCTATGTTTTCTAAATGTCTCAAAGCCCCCTTTCCTCAGGATTTCTGGGAGTTTTGATAGCTTTATTTTGTTTAAGAACATAAACCGAGGCCTAGAAAAGTCGAGAGACCTAACCTAGGTTGCATAGTGAGTGCCCATGTGAGGAAAGGGAACTTCCGTCCTGGGGCTAAAATTAGAGCACTCTCCCATCTCCCAGTTGTAGAAAAGCTCTACTGGTCAGGAGTGGGGTGGGAGTGGGGAAAAAGTTGAAATCAGGCTCTTGGCCTTGAGTTGTTGAGGTCACCCCGAGAGGAAGGATAAGTCATGGTCATGCTTTGATTGATGTTGGTGTGTGATTTATGCGTCTGTGAGACAAGCTGCTTTCTTCCCGTGTTCCCTTAACAGGCAGTCTCATTGCTGGAGATGACTGTCAGCTGCTCTCCTTGCACAGCCACCATCACATGCCTCACCACTGGAGCCTGGGAAGCCTGACCACAGACCGGCATCTCCAGGGCATGAATAATTAGGTAGGCATAATGGAAGGCACTCACTGCACCCTCCAATTGCATAAGCCCATTACCGAACTCTGCTACATCAGCTTCTATCTTCCAAGAGGGGAAGTCAGAGGATTTTCATACAAGGGCACTGTAACTCTAGACAGATCCAGTAAAGGTTTTCATAACTGCTACCAAGTCAGGGAGGGGCCAGACATCGTCAGCCTCAGCCAGGAGCCGAGCGAACATCCAGGTGACATATTTTTCAAGCAGACTCCCACGAAAGACATTCTAACTGAGCTGTACAAACTCACGACAGAGAGAGAGAGACTGCTGGCCAATCTGCTGAGCTCAGACCACATCCTGGGGATTACCATGGGGAACCACGAGGGGAAGCTGCCGGAGCTGTCCGTGAGCCTGGCCTCCGAGGACGACTGCTTCCAGAGTGCCGGCGAGTGGCCGGGGGAGCTCCCCGTGGGCTCTCTCAATAAGAGGAGTGCCCACAGGAACAAAAAGGCCCGGAGATTTGGTGGCAGAAGAGAGAACTTTGAGGCGCTCCTGCAGAAGAGGACACGAAGGAAAGGGCATGGGGGCCAGGAATCAGCTCCTCAGATGGGGAAGGACCAGATCTGTTTCAGCAACTCCCTTCCTCGTTCTCAAGCAAGGCCTAATCTTTGGCTCCTAGAGGAGAGAGGAAACTTGCTCCCAAATGGGGCACTTACCTCTTCTCTGCAGAGAAGAGAGAGCTGTCCCCCAGATATCTCCAGGACACTGGAAGCAGATCTTGGATTTGGGAACTTTGGGACGGCTTCCAAGGACACTGGGCTTGGAAGGGGAACCCCACCCGCTGACTTCAGCTCCACAGAGTCAGGAGACGGTGGCATTCTGGAGCCACTGAGGAGGCCTCATGGGCTGGAGCATCAGCAAACAGGTTTGCCTGGAAGTCACCAGGACCCAGAGAAGCATCCCGAGGCCAAGAGGGAGGGGACAGAGAAGTGGGCTGAGCGGACTTGTGAGAAGAAACCTGTTTCCAAAGTGGTGGCCAAGGTCCAGGATCTGTCCTCCCAGGTACAAAGAGTAGTTAAAACACATCCTGAGGCTGAGGAAACGATTGCCATTTGCCCCGCAGCCCAAGTTGAGTTTATACCCAAAGTGGACTTGCTCACCCTCCCTGTAGCCGAGGCTGGGGTTCGTGGTCCCAGGCGGCAGGGCAAGGAGCAGCAAGGGCATGGGCCCTTGCAGTCATCAGCCAGTGAAAGAGCCTCCATTTCGACTGCGTCAGCCAGCGCTGAGGGGGCTGTGAACAAGGTCCTCCTGAAGGTGATAGAGAGTGAGAAGTTAGATGAAGCCACCGAGGGGAAAAGGCTGGGCTTCCCGCTCAGCAAGACAGCCACCCACACCGTCCCAGAAACCAGAAGCAAGAAGAGAGCTGGGCTGCCCCCAAGTGGCTGCAAATCTTTGTTCCTGGATCTTCCCCATGGTGTAGATACCGGCTCCTCACAACCCAGAGGTAATGAGAAGAGGCCTTCCCTCCCAGCACCAGCAGCTCACGGCGTGGCATTTAATAATTCATCCCCTCAGTCTAGCACACGCAAACGGACGTCACCTGTTCCCTCTCCTCTGTCTCCGAGAGTCCCCAGCCCTCAGCAGCATCGTAGGATCCTCCAGCTCCCTCCACTGCCTGGTGAGAGGGAAGCTGCTCTTAATGACTCTCCTGGTAGAAAGAGTGGTGTCTTCTCTGGGTCCCCGTTTGCTGACACCTTGGAGCCACCATCCTCTACAAAGGTCACGGAGACCAAAGGAGCCAGCCCAGTCTCCCTCAGAGCAGGCCAACCAAGGTTGGCGCCTGGGGAAACTTTGGAAAAGAGCGTGGGGCCAGAGAGGACCACAGCTCAGCCCCAGCATCAGTCGCCTCCAGGTTAGTTAAAATGCTTTCAGTCTGTTCTTTGGTGATTCAAGAACTATCAATCTGCTTGTGCTATTTGGAGACTGCCTGATTAACAATGGACCAAAATTCCTAGGCTTGTTAGTTCATTTTGTAGCAAGAAAACTGGGAGTGGAACAGGTTGAGAGTGGAAATGGTGAGGATGGTGTTGATTTAGGGGCTCAGAGATGTAGTTGCTTACGGAAGCTATACTTTGTAAATAACTTTATGTTTTTTTCTTTTGGCACCTTCTAAAGCTGCCTCCATGGTTGTCTACCAGAGACTCTCAAAGGAAACAGGAATGGGCAGAGAGAAGTAGTAACTTGTCCCTGCTTTTGATGCTAATTGGCCCCTTGACCTGAATTCTGCTGTTCATGCTGCTGGAGTTGTTCTAGGGATTCTCTAAGCAGAAGTACTAAAACATGCTGTGTCTTAGATCATCTGTCTGTATTTAGAGGGTTTTTGTTTTCTTTTCTTAGTAATCATCTCTATAAGTGCCATAATTTTATGACAAAAACATTTTTTTACCAGAAAAGGGATGAATTCAGTCTAATTTGAAGAAACTTGGTTCAGACTTATATAGTTATTGTGATTTAAAATTTTACATAAAAATTATTTTTTAATTTCGTAAGACCATAAAAGACAGTGTATAAGAAGTGCCACCCCTATATTCATTACATTTTCTAGGCCAATGTGGCCAGATGCTCAGGGTTTTGTATGCCATTGTGTAAATAATATGTTCTTTTTCAGCGTTCCTTTAACAGCATATGGTCAATGCTTTGTCTAGGTAGTAGCTTGTAATATGATATATGGTCTCTTAAAAGTTGCAGAAAACATCATGTACAATTTTTGAGATAAAAATATCTGTCTAGGAAAGAGGAGTTTCAAAAGCTTGCTGTTCATTTTGAATTTGTGACATTTTATAAATTTCTCTAAAGCACTGATCCAGGAAGTGGTTCTTTAAAAATGTAGTAAATGCTTTTTATTTTGTTTTTGTAATATATCAATCTTAGTTTGGTAAGACTTGTTACTTTCATAATATAACCAATCAGCTTCACCAGGAAAGTCATAGAACTGTAGATGTTATATCATGTATCATAGAACCCTAGTGATGAAAACTCTTTCTCCCTGTGGATGCTGGAGACTTGGAAATACTTGGCAAGGAAGCTTTCTGGATTTATTAGTTGGGAGACGTCTGGGGGCATGGATATGGAATAGCTGCCTTAACTCCAAAAGTCCTTTTTGGAAATCACACCAAATTCTAGCATTGTGTGTGATCCCCATCCAGAAACTGTGCATTAAACACATTGATCTTCAGTAAATCGTTTTTCTCCCTGATTTAGGATTATCTTATTATTTTGTTGTCCTTTTTCTACGGAAAAAAAAAATTATAAAAGCTCTGCTATCTGAGTCAAAGCAGGCACACAGAGGACATTTGCTTTCCCTTGGTGACTGGCCGTGAGCCTGCCAGGGGACAAGTTGAATGGATGACCACACTTTCCCTTAGCCTCTGCTTGCGATTGCTTGTAACCATCCCCTTTACTTAGTCCTCAGCCTTCCATTGGGATCTTCAGTAGACTTCCAGGAGCCTCATAAGAATTATAGCCATGCTTTGCCAGAGAGACCTCCTGTGGTTTTAACCTTATCAAAAAAGGGGTTGAGAAGGGGAAGGAGAGTAGGAGTGGGAGAGACTTTTTCTCTGATATGGATAACTTCTTTTATATGGAGACCTTCCCCAGGACATTATCCCTTTTTGATCTTTATTTAAAAGGTATGAGAGAGGGAATTCTCCAGATAGTATCTTTGATCTGTATCCAGTGTTCTTGTCCCCTTTCCTCTCTTGATTTTCCCTTTCCTGTACTCATGAGTCCTTTTCATATTCTATATTCTTTAGTGACTTCCTGCAGCTGGTGGGCCCATACAGGGAGAATGTTCCTGCTTCCAGCTGCCATTGCTTTTCACTTCATTTCTCCTCTACCCAGTCCCAGTAGAGACCTCAGACGGTCACCAGCAACCTAGAGGAAGGGTGAATAATTCATTTACCATCACCATACAGTGGGCCTTTATCTGAATCCAACTCCCACCTTTCTCCCACGTTAGGTATTAACCAGGCTGAGTTTATGATCTGTGGACATTTATATCCTACGGAAATAACATCTAGGTATTTTATTGAAGTGATGTGATTAAGATTATTGAAAGCTTTCATTAACTGCTCAAGTAAGAGATTAAGTTTGGCAAAAGTAATCAGATCTGTTTCCAGTTGGAAGACTCTTGAGTGTTGCAGGCAAGTAGTAATTCCCAGGAAACAGTGAAATCCCCTTCTCCTTCTTGCAAGACCAAGCAGTTAAAGCTGACATTACCATCCATAAAAGAAGTAGCATAAAGGTATCGCAGAGGCTATTGATCTATCTTTTATTGGCTTTAATTTTCCTAACTCTTTATTCAGAGGGCCGTGCACAGGAATCTCTTATCTGGCAGCAGTATGCTCAAATACAGAATATGCTAACAATGCATGGTGGCCAGATTTGTCTACTCATGGCTCCCTCCAACGCCAACATTGGAGTTGGTTTTATAGTATTTTATTTTGGTGATGGAGACTGCTGTACAATGTTACCGAGTCTTTGTGAAACATGGTATTGCCTTAAACCTTGAGGGACTCTAGTTGTGCTAACCTGTGTAATGATGTCCTTTGGGGCTTGGTGCTGAGATTCCTTTGTTTTGCTCACTTTCATTTTCTTTGATCTGAAATAGACCCTTTTAATGCCATACTTAGGAAATGCACAGTCTTTAGTGTGCTCTTGAGCAATCTCGTGATCATTTTCCTAGGATTGAGGTCAATAGGGTGGTGATGGAACCATATGCCCCAGGCATAATTCTTGTCGATATTGAGAATCATTTGATCAATTCTTGTGACCATCAAAAGATATAATTAATGTCAGCTGATTAAGGGTTGAGAGACATTTGTGTAATAGATTTTATTGTATCTATTGCTTCTGTCAAAGCTTTGATTTCTCTCTGGACATATATTATGGTGAATAGATATAAAGTTTCACATGTTAATATTGAGGTTTGATGCAATTCCCATAAAATTTTAAAGAAACTTCATAATGTTAATGGATATATGCAGCCATTTAAGATTGCTACAGAAAGTATGCAGTACATAGAAAATTATCTATAATTAACGTTAAGAGAGAAAATATGATTTAAAAATTGCATATGGCACATTATACCAACATAAATATAGGAATTACATTGACAGAAAGTAAGTTGCTATATGCTTTTTCTTTTTAAGGCAAGCATGAAAATGAGGTTTATTGGGGAGAGAAAGATAGAATTATAGGGCAAAAGCAAGATACAGGTTTACAGAGCATGATACATACACCACGGATGACAACTGGACCAATTGTCAGAGCAAAGGGAGAGCAAGAGGAAGGGCACAAAAAATGCTGTTGCTATGTACTTTTGAGAAAGTAATGGGGTCATAATTTAGACTATATGTAACTGTGACCTAGCAATCCCACTTTTAGAAATTTAGCTTACATAAATGTGTGCACCAATAAGAATATATGCATAAGAGTATCTATTACAGCATGGTTTGTAGTGGCAAAAACAGTCAGAAAAAATTTAAATGTCCATCAGTAGAGAAATGGTTAAATAAATGTACATTTATACTCTGGAATACTACGAGGCTGTTCAGAGCATTGATCTAGATTTATATCTATTGAGTTACAAAATAATATATAGAATGCTCTCAGTTTTTGTAAAACAAGTATCTCCTCTCCCCATACATGAATAGATATGTTTTATATGGGTTTGGATATCATGGAGACAGGTGTGGAAAAAGACTGTCCAGGCTGTTAACATTCCCACGTGGAGCTGGGGAATAAGGTGAAGGGGAAGGGTGTAGAAGCACTGGGGAAGAGCCATTAATTTTTTTTTCTTTACGTGTTTTTACATTGTTTCTCTGGTTGTGGTGAATGTGTCACTTTTATGATTTTTCAAGAGTGATTTAAGTACTTTTTTTAAAAATAAAAAACCAAATTCACCACCTAGAGAGGTTCAGAGTGTGTGGGGGTGTAGGATTATAGCTAAACTGTGCTTTTCTGTACTTTCCCTAGGCCCTTTAATGAGGCAAGAAGCTCATCACTGAGGACACAGGACTGCAACAAAGGGAAATGTGGGTTGCTAGGGAGTTGTGAAAGCAACACCCGAGAAGGAGTAGCCTAGGAGGTAGGACTAGATCAGGATAGAGCATAATCTAGAAACCAACAGAAGGAGGTGATTCAGAGAGGCTGCTGGATTAGTCAAGAGTCCTGACAGGGAACAGATGCCCCCAGGCCTGAAGGGGCAAGGGGGACTGTGGTCACAGGAATCAGAGAGGGGAGATTAGCAGAGGCAACCATCTGGCAGGAACAGCAGAGAGGAACCTGTGGCCTCACTCTCCTTTGATCTTCCTGTAATCCTCCTCTAAGTGACCCAACCAGAAGGCAGAGTGTAAGGGAGCCCAGCCAGTAGCTGTGGGCTGCACGGTCAGCCCTCCAGGGCCAAGAGCATAGAGAAGAGTGGAGAGAGGATCTGCAGGGGCACACAGGAGACTAGATGATGCAGAAGAGTTGAGCCATCATCCCCTTTGAGGGAGCTACTTCAGTGGCCTGATCAGTAGATGTAAGTAGATGTAAGAGGCTGGAGAGGAGTAGCTGGTGAGTAAGGGGAAGTGGTGGCTACCGTATTTTCCTCCAATTTGTTAGTGAATGAATATAGAAAGAACAGCATTTTAAATGCTCAATAGTGTAAAGAAGAATGCATGTGTTTGTGTGGGCCATGTTGTGTTACAGACAGTGGTTACCTTGATACTACATGGTTATTGCAGTGTTTCATTTTTCATGTGACCATTCTCCCTCTAAATTTGATTCGGTTGACTGTCTTTTTACTGTTAAAAGTACATACATGGAGAAAGTGAATGAATTAGTAGTCCTTGTGATATGGTTTTTAGTCTATAGATTCTGAAAACAATTATTTTTTTTTAAAAAAATAAAGCTCTTATATTTAACAATGATTGATATCACATTGTGCCTGCTTGTTTTATGTGGAAAGCACAAAGAGAATTTAAAAATATCTTCCCCAGTTACCTCAAATTAAGAATAGCTAATTAGCATATGAACTATGAAGTAAGTTTTCTACCAAGGAACAATTTGTATTATGAGGTCAGTTTCCATATAAAATAAATGATGAGTGTTTTTCTCATTCAAGTTTTGTTCTTCAAAGGGAAATACGTTTTAAAGGCCAGGACCAGGGCCAAGACCTGATGTTTTAAAACCCCGAGCCAGCTCTATGCATGTGAATCGTTTTCCCAGGTTAAGGTTGAATTGTGCTGTGAGGATAACACCTTCTACTGAATTGTTTTCCATTTGTCTCTTTTCCTATTCTTGGATTCAGAGCACAAGATGTGAAGCAAGGGTGGCAGTCTGTGGCCTTAGGCTATGCACAGCCATCTAAAGTAATTTCAGAAATGTGTAGAAATGGCAGAATTAACATCATGATTACAAGTAATAGCCACTGAAGAATTTAAAAGAGAAAACCATTTTTAAATAAAAAGATATTAAATTTTGAAGAAAAATTTACTGGACATGTTTGTCTACATAACTTAACCATTCTGCCTCATAGTATCATTGGTTGAGGCATTTAAAAAAGATAAACTTTTATGGTTATAATTGGATTACAAGCATTTTATTAAATTGAAATCTTGAAAGTATATGTTTTGTTTTATTCCTTATAGATTCCTGAGAGAGTGTGCTTTATGATAACTGCAGATACCATTCTGGCCCCATCCTTTTCCTCCTGATAGCTGTCATAAGTTAAATGACTGTTACCGCCTACCTCACTTCATCTATTTTCTGATTTGTGGCCTCTGGGCTGTGATATTAGATCGTACCATACCCCTAGAGTTCCTCTGTGTGCCCTGGCAGCTCAGCCTCCTATCATAGCGTATTCTGAAGTTTCTTCCCTCTCATGGAAGGTTGACAGTCATGGATTGTTCTGATATAAAACCAGATTTTTCTATAGGGCCCAGAGCTTTATAGGAAAGAACTTGAAATTAGATCAGAATTGGAATTCAGAGATGTATATGATGTAGACGAATTTGTGGGATCCTTGAAGGATGTTGGCCAATAGGGAGGAACAATGAACAACTGAAGGAAAAGTACCATGAGAGAAGAACAAGTCTGGGCCAAAATATCTGTGCATAAACATTTCCTCTCTTCCTAGGGGTCCCCCCTACACTCAAGGGAGAAGGGGCTTTGGCACAAAGGGAAGAAAGAAATTTGTCCTCAGAAGTCCAGCAGTTTTGTGGTATGGAAGAGACATTCAAGAGAAGCAGGAACTGTCTTGTCCAGAGAAAGAGAAAAGTCCCAGCTTCTGTGATCTGGAAGAGGTTGTTAACAACCCAAGGACAGCTGAGTGACTGAGCAAAAGAGCAGAAAGATGACAAGGGCAGCAGGCCCCAAGCACAGAAACCTTGTAGGATCCTGGGAAGCCATAATTGGGGAGGAAAAACCTGAGGAAAGACTGGATTTCATGC